GAAGCTTTTGAGCAAGTGCAGCATAGTAACTATTTTAAATAAAACACTTCGTTGACAGTGATCAAGATAGATTGTAGTGGGGAGACGGTAGATAGGAAGAGAGACCAGGGAAAGTATTTCTCTATTTGCTGATTTTAATAGGAAAATTTAAATGTTGTTCAGAATTTTTCTAATTTACTCTATTTTCAAACTAAATATACTTTGCAGATCTTTATACTACAATATAAACATTTTGAACTCTTAAGATTTCAGGCTAAAATTCAATTTGTGTTTCTTCTCACCTTGAATAACAAAGAGGCACACTGCGTAATGAATGGATAACCAAACCTCTGACCATTTGTCCTAGGACAGGCTGATGCAGTTGATGCCAGAGTAAGTGGGTAGCTACATGAAGGGAAGAGGTTTGTGCAAAATGAGTACATGAAAGTCTGCTCACCTTGAAGCTCTGGATTCCTGGGACTCAGGGTCAATCTTGCTGGGCAATAGACATGAAAATGGACACTGGCCCATGTGTCCCGTGGCCTTCTGAGAACCGGTATATGGAGGATAGAGAAAAGTTGGACAGTTAATGAAATGCAGTATTCTATACTGTTATCATTCAACCATCTGTTCCTTCATTTAGCAGAAAAGTGAGTGTATTTACTATAAAGAGACTTGGCATTTTAAGCTTATCTAAGAAATAAGAAGACACCCTGAAATATGTCCCTTGGGTAACTAGACATCTGCTTAGAGAGATGGGACTGATGAGCCTATGTTAAGATAGATACGTCTGATTCTGAATCCTACCAGTTGGCTAAGGAACCCAAGCTCAAAACTGGGGCCCTCTTAGTGTTGAGGAATAGGGTGTGACCTCATTCCTAAGGAATAAGAAATCAAAAAGGAACAAAGTCGGGCAGATCAAAGAAGTGGCGAGGGACTTTAGAAGATCAGAAGGTAGCTCCCTAAACTCTGGAGTAATTGGCTTTATATTATATTTTCATCCTGTCTTATCTCTGATCTGGGAAATGGCTACCAGACAGCCAAGTGGGAGAAAGAGGAGCAACGCAGTGATGAAGGGCTAATTGAGGCAAGGGAGGTCAGGAGCATGAGTAGGGGTGGGGAGCAGTGGACACACCTGCCAATGGGCAGGAATCTTTTCCTGTGAAGAGAATGTTGTGAGATAAACTAAGTGAAATTTTAGCAGTTATGAAAAATTTTACCTTTGTTTACATTTTAAACTACTAGAAATAAGGTACAAATTAAGCCCTTTTTTTAACCAAATCTTATCTCACTATTATTATGTCAAGGCTCTGTTCCCATGAGAAAGCTTAGGGACATTTTCTCCAGTGTAAAGTACAAATCATACTTAGGTATCCTAATAATCATTTTAAATAACTTTATGTTTTAATACTATATAGTTTGTATTAATTACTAGCTTAATTACAGGTTAAACTTGCATAATGCTTCATTTTTTTCCCTTTTTTTTTAAATGTTTTGTTTATTTATGAGAGTCAGAGAGAGAGAGAGAGAGAGAGAGAGGCAGAGGCAGAGGGAGAAGTAGGCTCCCCGTCTAGCAGAGAGCCCGATGTGGGACTCGATCCCAGGACCCTGGAATCACGACCCGAGCCAAAAGCAGACGCTTAACCATCTGAGCCACCCAGGTGCCCTGCTTCATTTTTTTATAAAAACACTTTCCCAGGGGTGCCTGGGTGGCTCAGTCAGTTAAGCATCTGCCTTTGGCTTAGGTCATGATCCCAGGGTCCTGGGATCGAGTTCTGCATTGGGCTTCCAGCTCGGCAGGGAGTCTGCTTCTCCTTTTGTCCCTCCCCCGCGCCCCCCGCTCGTGTTCTCGCTCTCTCTCTCTCAAAAATAAATAAAATCTTTAAAAAAAAAAACACTTTCCCATATATCCTCTCATCTCAGTTTCCCAATATCTAAAGCTCAGAGAGAAATTCTATTTCTCATTTTAGAGATAAGAATTCTGAAACTCAGTTTGATATTAATCAGTACTGTCTTTTATTGAATGATTAAACATAAAGGAACCATGCTATGCTCTTTATATGTATTATCTCATTTAATATTCATGATTAAACTTTGAGATTGTTAACATCTCTATTTCCTCTGGTTTTAAAATACCACAAGCTGGGATTTGATTGGTTCCTAAGTCTGTGGTTTGAAATCACTACAGTTTACTGAAGATGTGATTTACCTAAGCTCACTGGGCTAGTAAGTGACAGAAGAGAAGTAGAAATAAACTATTTGCTCATAATTTTCCCATCTAACCCTAATGAAGAATTTTTATATAATGGATAATCAATCTTAAAAAAACCATTGATTGCACATTGATTTTTAAAGTATACATTTAAATAGTTTGTGTAAAGAATTCTTATGTTTTTGGAAATTCTAAAGATTTAAATGTTTTAAGCAACCCTGTTGTCTTTACCATTCCTTCATATATTTAGCAGAATTCATTAGGTGGAAAAGTCACATGGAAATACTTAGCTAGAATTAAAATCAAGTTACTGAGCAATTTTGCATTGAAATATGGGCATTCAGTTCAATTCAGTGAGTTAATTTTGAGTGCTTAGAGTATAATGTGCTTCAGTCTACACAAAGATAAGTAGGCAGTATCCCTCTCTGAAGAAATTTTCAGTCCTTCTTTACAGGATTATATTTAATAGATCTGAATGTTATTGAAAGAGATTGTTGAGATTCCTAAGTGTGATTTCTATTCTATTTTGGGAGAAGGATATTGGAAGAAGGAGAAATGGTTGAGCGCAGATTGAGGTATATACTCATAAAACTTAACACAAAAAAGAATCTAACAGTTACTATGAGAGAGAAAAATAAGTGCATTGGAGGAGCATGAGAAGGAAATTGTCATATCATATTGGAATAGAAGGGGAATCAGCAAAGGCCTCAAGACATAGATGATGTTTGAGATGAGCCTTCATGAATGGATAGAAATCCAAAAAGCATATGAGAATAGGGCATTCACACACAAAGGGCATAGTGTAAGTGAAAACAGAGACTGTAGTTTTCCTTATACTTAGTGTGGGTGTAGACTAACAAAAGGGCATAAGACTGAAAACCGAGACCTTGTAGAAGGTCTTGAATACTAGGCTGAGATCTTTGAGAGCAGATGCAGTGGAGTGAAAGACAAATACTGGGCTGGAAGTATGATATAGATGTGCAAATTTCAGCGGTGACATTTATGAGTTGAGTGAACTTGGGCAAATCAGTTCATCTCTTTGAGCTTTGACTCCCTCACCTGCAGTATGGTTGTAGTAGTATTAAAGGTTGAGTGTAAATTTAAAAACTTGTATGGAAGTACTCTGAAAACTGTAAAGCACAACAGGAGACAGCATGGTCATGGTCATCATCATATTATGTATATAATGGTATGTGATGATTTTGGAGCAGTGAAGCTTTTTATCTGCATCTGCAGTCTAGGAAAATTGAGTTGGCAGGAGTGTAGTGGATGGATTAATAATAACAAAAGAAAGAGAACCAATCAGGAAGCTATTAAAGTAATTTAGGTTAAAAGTAATGAAGGTGTGATTAGAATGGTAGAGACATTGCAGAGATACTGTTCTATTTGGCATTAATTCAAAAATATACTGAGCACCCACTCTGTTCCTGGACACAAACTCGGCAGTCATGCTTAACAACCTCCTCAAAAGAGACAACAGATGGAATGGGCAGATACTTGGGGAGCAGAGGTGAGAGGAGAGAGGGATATAGAAGAAGGTCACTGATCTTCCTTTGCTTTCCATTGGCGAGACCTCTGTAACAGCAGAATGGAGAAGGGACATCTCAGATGCCTACGAGCTTAATCCCCCAAGGCACAGGTGTCATGGTGGGTGAGAGATGATAATAGGGTCAGTAAATCCTTCCAGGGTGGGTTTGACCTCTCCTTCTCCTCCCTGTCTGTGTGGGTCTGCACTATCCGAGGTGCTGAAGGAGGAGAGTTACCCCCCAAAAAACAGGCACAAGACCACCCTCAAGAATTTCTTTGACTTAAAAAACCTGACAGAATCGCTTTTCCCCAAGGGAGGTGAGAAAATGTCTTCACCTAAAAAGAATTTCTCACTTTTCTTAAAATAGATCAACTACTGCTTCTATGCTTGCTTAGGTTTGAAAGTGGAAGGAAATAAAAAAAATAAATAAATAAGGTTCAAGACCTCTCTCTAAACTCCCAAGTAAGTTTCCCGGTCATCAGAAATTGATTGATTCAATTTAATTGTACAATCATTTAGTGAATGCAGGTAACTTCCAGAGATGGAACTGAAGAAGAAAACAGCAAGTGGATAAACATCGCTGCCCCCTCTCACAGTTTAGTGAAAGTATATGTCAGAAAGCATATGACAGATGATTGTGTGTTGAGCTAAAATTGTATTCTTAATACTGTGTTATAAAAATGATAAGACACTTATTTCCCTCCCTCTCTCCCTCCCTCTCTCTTTCTCTCTATTTCATACGTGTGATTTGTTTTTTTTTTTTTTTTACTTCTCCATGAAGGAGATTTTTATGAAGACCAAAGTGATGTGTGGGGCTTATTGGAAACTCATCCTAATACTTGTTTCTAATAAAATAAAGACTCCTCTCATAATGACCCTAAAGTCAGAAGTACTTTGTACATTTCTACAGAAACACCCTGTGAAATTTTGTGGGATTGAATCCAAGAGAAGCAGCCCCCTTTGTTCGGCATTTTCCATAGAACTTTTACTACTAGGTTGTCCCTTTACTCTGGAGCTTAAACAAAATGAAAATAGGACAGCCTTGCAGATCTTTTTAAGATATAAAGGGAGCATGGGGATAGCCATGGAACCAAGAATTGGTAAAATTAGGAAAAGAAATCATGAAAGCGGATCTCACATCCTTTTTCAAAAAATCCCTTTCATTCTTTATTCATCTCTTCATTCCAATCCCTTCCCAGTGTTATTAAGGCAGGCTCAGATAGCTACTGACTTTAAATACTCCCTGTATTACAATGCTGTTTGTTTTTTCCCACCATTTAGGAGATGACCTGGCTTCCACCACTTTCTGCTATTCCAGCACCTGGCAAAGTGGAACCAAGCAAATTTCCATTTCCAAATAAGGTGAGATCTTGTAACACTCAGGAGCAGTATGCTTTACTCACACAGATTTTTTAGTGGATGGTGGGTTTTCCTGTGATTGTTTTTCCCTCTGTAAATATTCCTACCAGAGGCATATGGCTGACTTTCAACAATTTGCAAGCATGTATTTATTCATCAAAGGGAGAAAATTAAGCTTCCACTTCCCTACTTTTGGCAAAATGTGATGCATATTATAATTGTCATTTTATCTAAAAAAAATTGTGAAGTTAAAATGCATCATACAATCCTTCTTATATATTCAGTGTGATTTTCTTTTTTTTCCTGAAAAGCTGTTATTAAATTAATGATGTATCTTAAAATCAATGTCTTAGAATTGAGGACATGTAGTATATAATTCCTCTTCGGTATCTTTTATAAACCTTAAAATATTTTCTAGGACTTTAAAAAACAAATTTCCATTTTCTAAGGACAAGCACACACTCAAAAAATCAGCCACAATATATTTAAATTATACATGAGTCTAATAGGTTTTATTTTATGATTTTTAACCATACAACTAATATATAACTCCATATTCATAAGGATGAAATTATGCCGATAGAAGGAGCAAAATATGAAAGTGTCCAGTACCCGCATCCAAGTTTTATTTCCCTACCCAGAATTTACTCTCAAGAGTTTGGTGAATACCATTCCACTCATCTTCCCTGTGCATGATATACATATACATTCATATGCAGTTTTTAAAAACTCTTAGACAGTATAGTTCTAAAAGCATTTCTTCTAAGAGTTGATTTTTTTCAGATACCATGAATACATATTATTGCTAAATATTAACACTGCAACCTTTTAAAGTGAATTATTAAAATAACAATTCATTATAATTATCACAGTGGCAAATTTCATTCTAAGCTGATTTTTATTTCCCTCAACAAAGTGTATTTGGAGATCTTTCCAAGTAAATATATAGAGATGTTCTTCATTCTTCTTAATTGCAGCAAAATATTTTGTGGTATCAATCTGTAGTAGTTTATTTAGTTGAGCTCCTTTTGATGGACACTGAGATGGGTTATGGTTTGTTATCACAAACACTATTACAACCAGCATTATTTATAAATGCCTTTTTGTATGCCTCTTATTGAAAGTCTCTAGAATAGATACCTAGAAGAGGGTAGGTACTGGAGGCATGAGAAACCATAGTTAGCCTTGACTGTGTTTCAACAGTACTTCTTTATGCATCTTTGCCAGTGTTTAACATTATCTGGCTTTATATCATTGGGTCTGTAGTGTGGGCGAAAAATTGATATCCCATTGTTTTAATTTGCATTTCTTCAATTACTTCTGAGTTTGAGCATTGACTGTTTTTCCTTTACAAATTGCGCATTCATATCCATTACCACTTTAAAAAAATGATTTGTACAAACTCCTTATATCTTATCCATTTGTCTGTTATATATGATGCAACTATTTTCTTGCAACCTTATTTATGTACCTTTTATACTAGCAAAGTGTTTAATTTTTATGTCAGAGAAAAGTGATTTTTCCTGCTCCAACATTCTAACAATGTTCTGTATTTTATTATCATTTTTTATAGTTTGATTTTGGGATTTTAAAACAATTTTTTGTAGATGGTGTAACAAAGGGTTCTAGCTTTATTCTTTTCAGCGGTTAGTAAATTATTGTTAACACTACCAACTGCTTAGCCCATGTTCCCCCTACTGGTTTGAAATACCACCTAAATCAACAATTGAATTTCTCGTAAATACATGGATTTGTTTCAGGACTCTCCAGCCTCTTTTTTTCAGTATATTTATCTAATTCTTTCCCAATAACTCATTTTTAAATCAGAGGTCAACAAGCTTTTTCTATAAAGGATCAGTTTGTAAATAATTTACCTAAATGAATAAATGTGACTAGGTTCAGATAAAATGTTATTTATTGAAACAGGTAGTGGCACAATATATAAAGAACTCTTACAACCCAACAATAAAAAGATAACTCATTTTAAGAATGGGCAAAGGATTTAAATAGACATTTCTCCCAAGAAGGTCTACAAATGCCTGATATGTATATGAAAATATCCTATCACCATTGTTAATCATTAGAGTTCCAAATCAAAACCACAAGGAGATACTTCTTCACACCTACTTAAATAGCTAAAATCAAAGACAAACAATAACCAGTGTTGACAAGAATACTGAGAAATTGGAACCCTATCTGTGGCTGGTAGGATCCAAAATGGTGCGGCCTCTTTGAAAGACAGTTTAACAGTTCCTCAAAAGGTTAAACATCGGGTTACATATGACCCAGCAATTCCACTTCTAGGTATATATACCCAAGAGAACTGAAAAGGAATGCTATCAGGTGTTACATATTTATTTACTGAACTCCTTTTGTCCCGGGAGATTTTTTTTTTTTTTTTGGTGGACTTATATTTTCCAAGTGGGGGAAAACAGAATGTGTAGCAGTAAAATATATGACATGTTAGATCATGATGTATAGTGAAGAAACATAAATCAGGAGAGGAAGATAATGAATGTTGATGGTGAATGGGGATGGATGGATGAATTTTAAGTAAAGAACTTAAGAAAGACCCTCCTGGGGAGGTGACACTTGAGCTGAAGGTAGAGAAGGAACAAGTCATGCAGACGAGTGGAGGTAGAGACTTCTGGCAGATGGAGGTGAAAGTGCATGGACGCTGGAGGAACAGCAAGAACAGTGGAGTCAGGGCAGAGAGAACCAGGCAAGGAACAGTAAGTGACACTGTGAGGTAAATGTAGTTATATTATGTTCGGACAGTAGGACCATTGAAAGGACTTGGGTTTTACTCTTAAGTGAATTGAGAAACTGTTAAAGAGTTTTGCAAATAACAAATATGTTTCATTTTACCCTTCTTATTGTGTCGATGGGAAGCTGTACATCTTTGCCATATTCCTGACATTAACAGGGATGATTCCAATCATTGAGTGTAGTTGTTATCAATAGGTATAAGAATTGCATATTGTGTGTCCAGCTCAGATAGTTTCCTTCTATTTCTAGCTTTCTGAACATTTTCATGGGTTGATTTTTTCATTTTTAAAACTTAAGGTACAATTTGAAAACAGTACCCTGCAAGTTTTGAAAAACACATATGCTCCTGAGACCACCATACTCAAGATATAGAAGCATTCCATCACCACCCAGAACTCCCCCTTGGTACCTTGTAGTCAACACCTCCCGCACCCCCAACCCCTGGCAATTACTGATCGGTTTTCCAGAGTATACAGAAATACAAAAAGTTTGAATTTAGTTGAAATTTATTCAGTATTTATTTAGGTGTTCATAGTTTTGTTCTTTAATCTGCTAATGTAGAAAATTACATTAATAGATTGTCTGATTTTTTAATCACCTGTATATTCCTATGATTAGTTTCCTTGAGTATGGTGTATTGTTCATTTGATACACTTTTGGATTCAATATGCCAATATTTAATTTAGGAATTTTACTCCCGTGTTCATAAGTCACCTTGGTCTAGGTATCTTTTTGTGTACACTTGTTCAGTTTTGACACCAGGAATGTAACAGCCTTCTATAATGAATTCTTTAGCTTTCTGCCTTTTTCTGTATTCTGGAACATTTTACATAACATGCCAATTTCCCCCTCCTTAAAGGCATGGAGTAACTCAACCATAAAACATACTGTCCATAGTTTTCTTTTAAGAGTAGATCTTTAATTCTATTTTCATTTTCTTCTATGCCTATTTGCTTTTTCAAATTTTCTACCTCCTCTTGGGTTAATTAATCTTTCTTTGTTCCTTTTTTTCCCCCTTCAGGATTTTCAAACATATACATAATACTCTGTTTTTCTAGTAATTGCCTTTAAAATTTTAATACATTAGCCTAGTTAAACCTATTTTTATCAATACCTACAATTAACTCATATCTGTATTCTACCCCCAACAATTAGTTTTACTTTGATCTCCCTCACCATCATCTCTCAGTGTGAGATTACAGTATTTCAAGCTTTTGTTACTATAACCATTTTTAGCATTACACCTTAACAATTATTTGTTAGTTTCTTAATTGGTCATTGTTTCTTATGTCTCAAGCCTTCCTCTTTTTAAGATGTGCCTATTGTTTTTGCTAGAGTGTATTTTCAAGCAGGTTTTTAGTCCAGACTTGACCTAAAGTCTCTGAGAGTCCTTTTCTGCACTTACCTTTAATCCTTCCACGTCTCCTCTCTGTTTGTTTACTCCTTCGGTGATTTCATCCAATTATTTCATCTAATTGTTGCTTTAAATACTCTCTATGCCAAGCTTATGACTTCTAAGTTTGTGTCTCTAGCCCCTTCTCCATCCCCCAAACTCCATACTTCCTCAACATCTCCGCTTGGATACCTAACAAACATCTTAAGCTTGCTATATCAAATACTGAGCTTTTAATCCCCCCCACAAGCCTTTTATCCCAGTGTTTCTCAGTAAATGATTTCTCCATTTTTGCAGCTGGCTCAGGCCAAAACCCTTGGAATCATCTGTATTTGTTTTCTAAGGCACCTGTAACAAAATACACAAAGTGGGCAGCTTAAAAGAAATTTATTCTCTCATAGTTCTGGAGGCCAGAAGTCTGAAATCAGGGTGCCAGCAGGGCCATGCTCCCTCTGACGGCTCTAGGGAAGAATCCTTTCATGCCTCTTCCTAGCTTTTGAAGACTTTCAGTAGTCTGTCACATTCCTTGGCTTGTAGTTGCATCATTTTACATCTTTTTATTTTGTGTATCCTTTTATTTCTGCCTCTACATACACATGGCTGTCTTGCCTCTGTGTGTCTCTGTGTCTATAAGGACAGCAGTCATTAAATTTAGGGCCCACCCTAATCTAGTGTGACCTCATTTTAACTTGATTTTACCTGCAAGAACCCTATATCCACATAAGGTCAAATTCACAGATTTTGAGTGGACATGAGCTTTTGGAGGATGCTGTTCAACTCAGTACACCATACTTGACCCGTCTTTCTCTCATATCACACATCCAACTCATCATTAAATCAT